GTGTGGGGTTAAAATAGGTTAAAAACAGAGGGCAAGTGTTTAAAAATATACAGAAACACGCAAAGGTAAGTGTTTTATAGTTCTTATAGTTTTCCTATAATGTGAAAATTGGATTAGTGTTGGTTTAAGCACTCTCCACAGAGTTACTCTGATACTGGTCCAATAGACTGTTATAATGCTTCTTCTTATTAGATCTCATAATACTTATAGATTTTTATACACCTTGTGTTTGCTTTCTGCCTCTTTTGTTTTTCAATTTAAAATTTGCCCCTGATAGAGCCAGACAAACAGCCCATCCGAAATCCAGACATTGGTTTCTCTTCCCCTGGAGGAGACACCTACAACTTTTACATCTATTGCCGCAACACTGACAGCGAGGTGCCTCGCTTCAGAGAGGGAACAGGTTTGTGCAAATTTGCTTGTCTGACATCCTGTACGCTGTTCACTGACCACAGAAGACATAAAAGACAAGTTCTGGAAGCTAGACTGCAAGGAGGCTGGAGTAAATTAATTCCAACATGTTTTCTTTAAGGTCTCTCAAACACAGCATTTATCTTTTTAGTATTGGTAGTAATTTATTTAAGACTCTAGTAACAATTTTCCAAAAATAATGCACATAAAATAATAATAATGACAATAAAGTGATAAAATGAATAGACAAACAAAAAATATTGACAAAAGATGTAGGGTGAAGCCTCAACTAATTAAACTTACCCTTCTTACATACTGTATTAAAAAAATAAGCAACACTTTCACAACTAGATTTAGGCTATACAAAAACACAACAGAATAAACACAAAGTTCTGCACATCTCACACACAACAATAAAAATCGTACCTCCATTTTATATATTTGCCATCTTATTCCCTGTCACAATCATTCCCTAAGTTAACCCTTTTGACAGATATTACATTTCTCCTTGTTTTGTTTTTTTTTGTTTGTTTTTTTTTAACATACCTATTCCCTTAAATTTCAAACCACCATTGGAAAGCAGTTAGGAAGCAACAGATTTTTTGCTTTGAAAATTATCTGTGCAGTTTTAGGTTTACTAGCATATAGGTTAATAATTAGTGCATTTGTTGAATTGTAAAATAATTTGGTATTCTCATCGCTTTCCTCTGTATCAGAGTCAGAATCAGACTCAGCTTTATTCACCAAGTGTGTGCATACAAGGAATTTGACTCTGGTAGACTTTCTCTCAGTGTACCAGAATTGACATAAGTGCTCAAATTTAGGCAAGAAGTGGAATACACAGAATATACAATATACAAAAAATATACAAGTATACATCAAATATAGAAAAATATAAAAAATTATATAAAAAAATGTTATAAAAAAATATTTGAAATGTACAATATCATTGAATTAGTGTTGGTTTTGTATGTGTTTGCCCATACATCCACACAGTAGGTAATGTATTTAACTATGACAGAACCATAGATTATATATAATGAGTTCTTATTCAAGATATACATATATTGCAGTGGTTTGAGACATTTTTGTTTTTACATTATTTTTGGGTGGATTGCAACATATTTCTGATCAGTTATAATTCCCAGTCATTTATTTTTTAAAGTGGATGGGTGGATACTCTGTTTTAATATGATTTATTGATTTTTAAATTTGTGGAATTTATGTGCCAGTGGATTAATTCCAATTAATAATATTTTTCTTTACTACAGATTTTTAAAAAATATGTTTTTAAAGTCAAGTATTTCCTTTTAATCTACACACAGAGTAAAGATGTAGACGTTATTATGAGCAATAACTTACCACACCATTTTCATTTTTTGCTAAATTGTATCTAATGTTTACAAAATAATCAATACATTTACAGGCAATTTCTTTTGCTTTATTCTTAATCGCATTGTGATCTTAACAAAATAATTTGACTTGTCCCAGTGCTGGCTTTAATTATGCTGTTAAACACTCTCCATGTTCCTTGAGCGTTACACCTATATTGCTTCAATAGTGTGAAAATGCTTATATGTATGTGAGCACATAATACTTAATTTTCTGTATATTTCATAATTGTTTTTTGCTTCTTTTTGTGTTTGAGCTAGACGAAATATCTATTCACCAAGAAAGTCTGGAAGTTAAGGAGAATTGCATTGCAAAGACAACAGGTTTGTAGAAACTTGTCTGACATCCTGTCCAGTGTTCACTGATCACAGATAACATAAAAGACAGACAGATGTGCAAACTGGACTGCTTGGACTGGAGTTAATTAATTCCAACATACTTTACAAAGAATTTTAAACCTTGTTGTGTTTTTTTTCTAGCTACAGTACAGTCTGGGATTTTTCCTTTTTCCAGCTGGTTCAGAACGCTGCCGGACCGGAATCAGCGAGAGAGAGACTACCAGTGAGTGCTCAGAGCTTATTCACATTTTAACTTCATACAACCCAAAACTAACGTGCATCCAAACGTTGACCACCTTTGGTTGATTATATTCATGACCTATAATGATAAACTAACTGCCATATAAAATGTTGTTACACCTGCCAGGGTATATTCAACTCTATTATACTATAAATTGCAGAATTGCAATGTTAATTACATGAATGTGTAAAGTACTGCTTGTATACCCTGACCTAAAACAGCACACGCAGATATCTTGACTGTTGTTCCTCACCACTCTGCTCTTCTTAATTTTCCCAGCTGGCATGAGCATGCAGAGGGAATACCCCACTGCATGAAGGCAGAAGACCTCTCTGATCTGCCTTCTGAGGTCCAGTTCTCCTTCACCAAGGATGCAGAGTTTAAGCTCACTGCAGTTGCTGGGTAAAGTCCTCAAATTCTGTCATACATCTATTTATCTATGTGACTATGTATGTCCCATCAAACAAATTTAAGTCATCCAAGTAAACTTACTTTTTGCTTTTATTTTCTAGGCTGGCTGAGCTGTACCTGAATGGTCTGGCTGATTCCAGGGAGAACTGGCTTGATATTGATGACATCAAGGGGGTGTTCCGTTCCAAACGGACTGACATATCAGGTACTGTGCTATCATCGTAATGTAATGGAATACTTAATATGTGTGGTGCAGAGGTTGCGCTAGACTTTTTCGTCGCCGGTCATTTTGACCGACAGGGTTGTAAAAATCCGGTCATAATCTATTTTTACCGGTCATTTTAATTTTCGTTTTTAAATGATAATAAAGATATTCAAAGACATTTAGTTTTCATTCGTTCGTTTTTAATAAATCCAACAAGCAAGTTATAAAGTGTGCATTAATAAGGACATGAACGAAAAGATGAACAGACATCCACACACCGCAGCGCTTCAGTTCGGAGTCTGGTCTACACGCGAGCGGCGAGCGCTTCTGTCAAGCTGGATAGAGCGGATCGTACCAAACAGGAAGTCGGACACAGAAAAGACAAGAGAATCCGGCCAATTTTCAAAATAAAATACCAACAGCATGCACTGACGAACGTGAGGGAATACCATGTTTATAATTTAAAATAACACAACAGTGCATAATCGAACACATTTTTCAATACCCTAATCACTTCATTACACTTTTAATTTTGTGTCACCGAGCCTACAGACTACATAAATAAAATGGTGAGAACAATATGCCCGATTCATTCAGTGTTAATCCAACACGCTCAATACATGGACATGCAATGACAAATTATAATTAACTTATTACGTTATAAAAAACGATTAAAATATGGACTTACCCATGTTTAAAATGACCTGTTGAAGTGAAAAAACGAGTACTGACGGGAACAGACGAGTGGAGTCGATGTTTAACCGGCGCGGAGAGCGCAGGAGAAATGCGCTGCCTGTGTGGACAGACTTCTGCGGCACTAACGCTTCTGGTGTGTCCAGGCCGTTATGTTAACCGTCCCTGTGTTCCAATACCCATTCTACCATACTATTTAGTATGCCAGAAAAAGAATTAGTGTGTCCCAATACATAGTATGTCAGATGCAGTATGCCAAAAGTACCAGGATGTTCTACTACATCCGGTCATATTTCGCAGTATGCACAAAGAGCATGGATACCAAGAGGCGAAGCTCAATAGAACGCCCCATAGCAACAGATTCCCCCATGGTTTCGTCCTACCGCCGCCATTTTGGACCGTCAGCAGACCGCAGCAGACCCGCTTGCATACAAAAACACACAGACAAACTGAAGTATATCGCTATTAATTATGCTTACAATGCTACTCACCTCGTGATAGCTTAGTCACAGCTGCTTTTTCACGTTTTTGTAAAGCAAAATATAGACTTTTAAAAAAAACAAAACGAGGAAAAACGGCAGAGATGGCATCTCTAAATATTACATCCACTTATGAGAAGATTAACTTAGGCCTAATTACTCCTTCAAAATCACCCCATAAGCCAATCTACCAAAAAAATAAACAAATAATAGGCTAATAAAAAAAAATCAATATTTTAACTAGATAACCAACCAACGCCCACACTTCCCTTCATACATGGTTTATTTAATTTGAGATACTAAGACACTACATATTAGGACTGCAATGATCTGATTATATACTGTCACATATCATACAGTTTTGCAAGAACACAGATACAGCATTCAACTTTTTTGTGATTATAGTATAATCAATGTTAGGGTTCAACTATGACTACATTATAGAAGATTCTACCAGTACAGGCAGTGGTGTAAGTGTGGTATAAATAATGAATGAATATGACTAAATATGAATACACTATGGGCCAGGTATGAGCAGTGTAGACTAGTAAATATATAAATAGTAAAAGTCAAATACATATTAAGTAATGTAGTAAGAATGTGCAAGTATGTTACACTACAAATAAAAGTAATGTGAATGTAAGGCTGCTTCACGTGCAGATAGAATATAGTGCCAGCAGCTGCATAGCTGTAAATATATTTAACATCAAACAACTGCCAGCAACAGAGAGCTATTTGTGAAGGGGGTTAATATGCCTACTGGTGACTAGTTCAATAGACAGGTCACTAATAATAGGCTTGGGACTGTTTACGTGAACACGTCAGTTTATTAGAAACAACAACATACATTATGACATAACAGCAACAGAGCTCTCCGGCACCTCCAACGGTATGCACAACTCTGGCGAGCTTGACGAGAGGAGATTTGCTGCATCTCCGAAGTACAACAACACAAAATATTCAAATGTGGCGCTATGGACGGCGGCGGAAGTAAGCAAGAGGGTCGAGGTTCAGGGAGCGGATGTAGTGTGTCCCAATAGCATGCATACTGCATACTACACTACATACTTTTTAAGGGCAGCTGCAGTACATACTAAAAGTATATAGTAGAAGTATGCGATTTGGAACGCAGGGTGTGCTACATGAAGCAGATTAATGACTTTTTCTCTGCAGTGTGAAAACGGCAGCCACTTAAACCACTGACTGTGCACTCCGCTGCCAAGTGGGCAGGGGTGGTAATTGCAACCGGTCAAATGACCGACGGCCTTCAGATTTTCCGGTCATTGCTGTAAAAAACCGGTCAATGACCAAGAATATCCGGTTAACGCGACCCCTGGTGTGGTGGATATGGGTCAGGGGGAGAGGAGTGGAACATGGAAGAGCATTGTCCTATGATCAGAGACCGCAACATTAACCTAGATCAAATTTTCGTCACACAATCCATAGGAAAGCACTGGGTTGAAAAGTTTGATAAAACCAGAAATAAGCAAGGAGGGAAATACAGCAGCATACACCGATCAGCCAAAACACTGAAATCACTGACAGGTGAAATGAATAACATTGATTATCCTGTTACAATGCATTGTTCTGCTGGGAAACTTTGGGGCCTGGCATATATGTGGATGCTTCTTGACATGCTCCACTCACCCAAACACTTTTTTTAGCTCAAGCAAACCTCCACATGGCAACAACACTCCCAGATGACAGTGCCCCCCCAGCAGGACAATGTGCCATGCCACACCGCAAAAACTGCTCAGGTGTGACCCAAGGAACATGATGGAGAGCTCAAGACATCGACATGGCCTCCAAATTCCCCAGATCCCAATTCAACTGAGCATCTGTTGGACATGCCAATACCCCAGACGTACCCCTCATCCACGGTGCGGTCTCTAACAGATCGGACATTGCTCTCACCTCATACATGGTCACATAATTTAGTGATAAGCGTTACACAACAGTGTTTGCATTGCAATGCGTTTCAAGGATAAGACATGAGACACTACTTTTACAAAGAGAGATGATAAAGATGAGCCCGGGTAACCGAACATCTCAGTCGTAGAAAAGCAGAATATCGAGTTACGACCTACCAGTTTGATGTGTGTAGAGGTCTGTATTGTAGCTGCCTGGTGTCATTTTTAGGGTGGTTTAGTGGAGGTCAACAGCAAATGGTTTTGTGTGGTACAGCTGTTTAAAAACTATGAGATCAGTGATGAGACTGGCTGAGAGGGTATTTAATATCTACCACACATGCTGATCAAGGCTATTTTCACCTACACATAGCCCTTTGCAGGTTGCACTGCTGCAACAGGTGCACATGGAGACTCAAAATATTTCTCAGGAGAATGCAAAAGTTTTGTGAGAGTATTCAGAAGTTTCCCTGGAGAACACAAATTTATTTGTTTCTCCCCCATTATATTTATCTGTTACCTATCTATTTTTTGTCCCCCATGCCCCCCGTAGAGGCACCATAATAACATAATGACTGATTAATCTGAAAATAAATAAAAATAAAGACTTGGCACAGAGGTCATCCAGTTTATTTCCAACGTTTGTCAAGCTAGCAGGATGCCATTTCAGCTGGTGCTCATTCTTCCTTATTTTTCCTTGATGTTTACTGATATTTACATTTGAAAACCTTGACCAGGCTAGCTAGCAGCTGGCCAACAGAAGTCAGCAGGAGGAGAATTTACATACCAGTGATTTGATTTCCTCGTCCTGATGAGTGACTCGCAGCCACATGCTGCCACCATCCAAAGCCAACCACAAAAAGCACCATCAAGACTCGCAAAGTGAAAAAAGAGCCCAAATTTGACACAAATTTAGTGGAGCTGACAGAGAGGCAACTGTAAGCGTCCATGCCTTTTGTAGTTTACTATTATTTTTTCAGTTTTTTATTGATGAGTAATTGTATTGAATTGGATATAATCAAGATCATGTCTGATTCACTTTAACTTTCACATGTAGTGTACAGGTACAGTTAAGCTGATAACACCATGATTTTCTAGCTTGAAACTCAATGAAGTTCAACTCTCTTGTTCTTTTTCCAGACTATGTCCAGGAACACTGGAAGGAGGACGTTCTTTTTGCCTACCAGTTTCTAAATGGCGTCAACCCCATGTTGATCCGACGCTGTTCAGCTCTGCCTGATAACTTTCCTGTCACTGACGACATGGTCTTCCCCAGCGGTCAGTTCAGCTTGGAAAATGAAATGGAGGTGATTGTCATGACGTTGATAGATCTTAGCAATAGAAAAGATCATGTTTTGCCCCATGATGCTTTACATTTGGGATTGCATGTCGCACTACATGTTTAGTCAGTATATGTAACGTCCACACTGTATGCATGTGAGTAAAATGATTTCCTCACCACAACAGAATGGCAACATATTCCTGTGTGACTACAAGCGTTTGGAGGGAGTGAAAGCAAACACCATCCATGGGAAGCAACAGTACTTGATGGCTCCCCTCGTCCTGCTCCACAAAACACCTGATGATGAGCTGATGCCAGTTGCTATTCAGGTTAAACTTTCCCTAAGTGTTCTTAAAGCAAGATACTATGATCTATGCAAGTGAACCACACCTCCTTCCTTCTCCTGCAGCTGAAGCAGACTCCAGCAGAAGACAACCCCATCTTCCTTCCTACTGATTCTGAGTACGACTGGTTGACGGCCAAGATTTTTGTGAGAAGTGCAGATTTCAACGAGCATCAAGTCAATGTCCACCTGCTGCGCACTCATCTGCTGGCTGAAGTGTTTGCAGTGTCACTGCTGCGCAACGTGCCCAGGACACATCCACTGTACAAGGTAACTGAGGGGAGAATACTGAACCTACTGTAGTTGTAGTTTTCTATGTTGTAGTTTTTCCCAGTTGCTGATTTTTGTATCATCCAAAGTTGAAGAATCATAATGTTTTAGTGTGTGTAACTATTTCTCACTGTTAAATGGTATAGAAGCATCAAGATTACTGACTTGGTTAACATGTAATAGTGTTACTAACAGAGTTCCCTCATTCTCTCAGGTCCTCGCAGCTCACACCCGCTACACTCTGCATATCAACTTCTTGGCGAGAGATCGTTTGATATCCGAGACTGGAGTTTTCACAAAGGTACAAAAAGACAGATGTACTCAGTAGACATAAACAATCTTTTTTTTTCATCAATATCATGTACAGTATTTGTCTCTAACTATACTCCTGACATATTTGACTGTCTGCTAGTTTGCAGCCACTGGTGGAGAGGGTATGGTGACAATGATGCAGAAATCACTGTCCTCAGTGACCTACACCTCTCTCTGCATACCAGACGACATTGCTGAGCGTGGGCTGGAGGACGTGCCGAACTTCTACTACAGGGATGATGGACTCAAGCTTTGGGATATCATCCACAGGTATTACAGTCACTTTTGATTTTGCATTCTGTTAATGAATATATATTACTGGTACAAAATCATGGACATATGAGTGAAGGGTAGCTGCCATGCTAGACACTACAAAAAACTTACACCATATCAGGCTTAGTTAGAGTGCATTTAAAGGCCATGAAGTACACCAAAGTAAAAAAAAAAATGCACAGAGGCATCAGATCTGTGTTAAAGAGATTGCTCCAGCAGGGAGAGGACGTCTTTACCAGGAAAGCACCCTGAGAATACAAATGTAGGATTAGAGATTTTATTTTATTTAGTTCTTCCCCAAATTGTGCTTTGTGCTCTTGTAAATAATGCCGTGCTGCTGGGCCATCCTATAGAGAGAGCCTAGATTGATTTTGCAACTGCTGATCAGGAGATGACTTACAGTTGACCGAGGCTGTTTTTTTCCCCCCAGTATACTGGAAATGCACGTCAAACAATTTACTGTACAGCGCGGCTGTTAGAATTAGGGATACAATACATATTGTTTATGCAAAGACAATTTGCGGTTTTGAACAAGTGATTATACACAACATGGTTTCCAAATATCCTGATATCCTTATCCTCCCTAGAGCCCTGTGAGCTAGCTTTTGTTCTTACAATTACTAAAATTTAGAGGTGCTAGTAGGCATCTATTTGAACTCTGAAGCCAGCCAGGCTAATCACTTCCCTCCACTTGTAGTCTTTATGCTAAGCTAAGCTAATTGCCACCCAGCTGTAGCTTTATATTTAATGCACAAATATGAGAGGTGTATCGATCTTCTTATCTAACTCTCAACAAACATTGTCATATATTGCACCAAATTCTTAAAAAGAACAGAACTGATCGTACTAAAGAGATGGACATTAAATTGCCTCACAAAAGAGTTATGCTTTACTACTGCAGTATTTCTGAAAAATATCAACTAGGAATGTATTTTACAGAACTTATTCATATTCCTCAAAGGTTTGTGCAGGGAGTGCTCGGCTTCTACTACAAGCATGATGATGAGGTCCAGGAAGACGACGAACTACAGAGGTGGATTGGGGACATTTTTGAACACGGATTCCTTTCCCAAGAAGGCACAGGTGGGCTTAAAAGAAAAGCTCAATATTAATGATGAGAGATGTGCACATTTATATTTTATGTTCATATTGCAAAGATAAATAAAACTTAAATCACCTAGGCAACTTTAATTCATGCAGTTTATTTCCTCTAATTCTCAGGAATTCCACAGAGCTTTACCACCGTGGCAGAGTTGGTCAAGTTTGTCACCATGGTGATCTTCACTTGCTCAGCACAACACTCTGCTGTGAACACTGGACAGGTGAAGCCTTTTAATTTACCGGGATGATTAATTATAATGTTGCTATTATTGTAGAATTGGTTCATGACATCTGCAGTTTTTTTCTGGACTGGAGAGAGATAGGTGACATAAACAAGGGTCTATACAGCCAAACAGCCAGCCATCATGGTCAATATAATTTAATCATAACTGTAGTTGCTTTCAGCTAAACAAATATATCTAAATAAGCCACTGAAGGTTGAATGGGTGAACTTGTCTTCAGCTAAAAGGAAACTCATGTCCAGAGAGCTGGAAACTTTGGATTCTGTGATTCATTTATTGACAGTTCTGCATACACACGCTCACTGTAATGTTTCACCATGAGTTAGAGACAAAAGTTATTGAATTGATCAGTTTATTAAACCACTTAAAGCAGTGCAGAGAAAATTTACAGGTGTGTCGCAATGTCTCATAGAAAACAGCGCTCTCACTCAACAACAACAGAGATTAAAGCCACACCTGCCCCCCCTTCCTCTGCTGCACCAGCCAGCATTGACCATCCATGTGCCATGCATTACTGTGATTGGCAGAAGAATGGGAGATGATTGACTGGCTCTGCTAATCCAGAACTCCCAACTGTACAAAATCATAAAATAAATAGATAAATGTACACATGGGCACATGCAGAAAGTTGTCATGACATTTGGCTAAAAATCACAAATGTTAACCTCATGGTGGCGCTAGAGGAAAAGTCAGGAGATCACTTAAGTCATTGAGATTCATCCTCTGGGAACCATGAATATTTGTACAAATTTTGGTTCCAATCCAAATTTCATGGCAACACATCCAGGAGTTGTCGAAATACACGCCACAAACATGGTTAAAACATGCAGCTTTTAAAGCACATTTTGAACAATAATTGTATCACCATGATACCAGTGCTATGCTGTGAGTGAGTCTTAATCAGTTATCTGCCAATCATTCAATCATTGCAGTATGACTATGGAGGCTGGATGCCCAACACTCCCACCAGCCTGCAGCTTCCTCCACCAACCAAAAAGGGGACAACAAGCGAGGCCACGATGCTGCACACATTACCTGACATGGGCACAACAGCTAATGGAATGGCCGTCATGTGGTTACTCAGCAAACCATCCTCTGACTTTGTAAGTGAACAAAACCTCACGAAATTCGAATGACATCAATCAAAATTTTCTTCAAGTTTTGTATCACAGGTTATTGCATCATCAGAGCAAAACGCCCTCTTCCAGTCAATGAGAAAAACAGTCCTGCTCACTACTTACAGCTGTACATTATAGTGCCAATAGTATATGCTTGACAACATTTAAATGTTATTGATTAAATGTATTTAATCATTTATTTCATCAGGTTGGTCTTGGCAAGTCCCTGGAGGACCATCACAGTGAGGAGATTCCCTCCAGGCATGTAACAGCTTTTCAAGGAGAGCTTCAAGCGTTAAGTGCACGCATCAAAATCAGAAACAAGAGTCTGGAGGTGCCATACACATACATGGATCCAGCTGTGATAGAAAACAGTGTGGCCATTTGAATATCAGAAGGTGTGACCTCCTCAGCTCTTTCAGCCAAATTCAGCTTCATATTAACAAAATAAGAAAGGGAAAAACTGCATGCTCTGTTTTAACTGGTACTATGGTGGAAGGAAGCTACTGCATGTGATCATTTTATATTGATCTGTGATTTTTATAACCTAATTGATTTAATTGTATGTTCGAAAAATAAGTGATTACTAAAAGGAAGACAAATCTTTTAAGTGAACTGTCTCTTTCATCTTGTGTGAAAAACAAGTACTTGTCACTCAGAACAAAGTAAGCTCAGTTTCATGGAGGACATGAAGTTCCTGTTATCACAGAAAGAGGTGTTGCTTCAATGATCCTGTGTTCCATGAGGGAGGTGCTTCTTTCTGTCCTTGTCCTTGTTATATACTTTTTATAAAAAAAAAAAAAAAAGAATTTCCCTCAGTTAAAAACATTAAATACAATATGTGAAGCTGCTGTACTGAGAAATTAAACACATGTATCTTCCACAAATGATACACACAAATGTGACAATTTGCACTTGTCTGCATTAACTTCATGTGCTATAGAAGAGTAAACAAACACATATCAGTGTAAAAGTAATTTGGCTGATTTGTCATTGGATGTCACTAAGGTCAACTGTACACTGTGACCAAACTTCTTCACCAAAATAAAGTACTGGTTAAGTCTACACATGAGGTGTCTGAGTGATCATTATTATCATCATTATCTTCCTACAACATCTTGTAATTATTAATTGTTTAAGTGAACAAAATAATCATAGAGATTACCAACAACAAAAGGACACAACTATGAAAATAACTGACAAATAAATGCATAGGTAATTTTACTGTGAATATAACATGATGGATCAT